GGTGTTTTAGAACTTCTGGAGGAGGTTCTTGTTCTGGTTCAGGCTCTGGTGTTTAGCCGATTGATGAAAGGATTCGCAAGTTGGTTTCATCTAAGATCACTCGCGGTATTATGGATATGAAACCTATGATGTTTGGTACCATCAAGGAGGGGATAATGGAGCTGTTGGATGAGCGGATTGGGGATTTTCAAGCAAAGGTTGTGGCCGGTCAGATTCGGTCTCTCTCTCTCTCTCTCTCTCTCTCTCTATTTGAGAGTTTAAGGCTTACAAAGCCCAAGAGTTCTTCGGTGAAAAGGACCTTATTGCTAGTATGTGGTGAAATTATGTTATGGATAATGCTTAACATAGAATTTTCTACCATGTGGTATCAAATTTAGGATTTGTATCTTTCCGTCTGAGGGATAGATCTTGCGACTGGTGGGATGATATTGGTTATTCTCTTAGAGCTAAGGCTGTAACAACCATGTCTTGGGCATATTTTGTGTTGAGATTCAAGGAAGAGTTTTCACTGGCTAATAAGGTGAAATATTTTCCATGGGAGTTTTTGGGACCTTCTCTAGACAATAGAGACCTTGGTGGATATCACTGACAAGTTCAGGGAGAGGGCTTTATTAGTTTTGCAGTTCGTTGCGGATGAGGAGATGAACAATACGAGGTTTCATGATATGTTGCAGGATGGTATTTGTGAGTTTGTGAGCCCGTCAAGATGCAAGACTTTGGATGATATGATTGTTGGAGCCCGGGAGCAGGAAATTGAGCTACAACTTCAATCGAAGCGCTGGTCGGAGCAGATTCAGACCATAGTGGGCCATGAAAAAAATGCCTAAGATTGAGGATCTAGAATAGAGAGGCCATCATGGTTAAGGCCATTATGCCAAGTGCGGGAGGACTCATGAGGGGAGCTATCGTGAGAAATGGACGGGGTTGCTTAAGTTATGGCGAGACTGGTCATTTTAGCAGGGATTATCCTCGAGGTCGAGTCAGATTTGTTTTCACTATAGTCAGGTGGGACACAAGAAGGCTTACTATCTGAGGTTGGTGAGTGGAGAAATGATGGTACCTACTCTAACTACACTAAGGATCACATATATATCAGTGAGTGTAGAGTGGAGGCTCCAATGGTGAGGAGCCAAGCATTTCAGTTGCAGGCCAAAGAGACCTGAGTTCCATCTGATGTTGTTACAGTTGAGTTTCCAATTAAGGATCATAGTTTCTTTATTTTGTGTGATTATTACCATTCGAGATAATATCATATACCATTTTTCATAACGAGATCCATGCTTAGAGGGTAGTTAGATGAGCTAGTTTTAGGCTTCCATGTGGGAGATGTTGACTAATGGTAGGGGAAGCCTTAAGTGGAGGAAGAGTATTCTTCTTGAAGAATCGATATTCAGATTGATTTTATGGTTTCCATGCATTGAGTCTGAGGAAGTTACAGTGCGAGCATAATGGATTTGAATTTAGGGTTCTTAGGGATTATTCTTAGTTCCAAAGCAATGAAGGATTGGTCAGATCACGGGTCTAATGATAGTCGTTATCGGATTCATACCTTGAGAGCATGGTTGATGTATGCTTGCTTAGGTTTCGCCCAGTAGCAAGTGAGTTGTCCTTTTGGTTATCTATCTATTTTGATATTTGGTTTATTCATTCTTTTTCATCAATAGAAGTTGTACAAGGATTTGGAATTGTATCTAGGGAAGGTGCTTGGGATTCGAAAAAGTTTTGCCAAGAGCAGTAAAGTATTTAACCTGGTTCTGGGACGGGTGTACCCTGGATTGTTTGGTCTTGGAATCTTATTTCTTGTAAGCTTACGATGATAGTGGTGGAATAGTTTGGTTGTGAGATGGTTTGGAAATCCAATGTTTATGAGGTTGGTAGAGTGCATCTAAATCCAAATGCAGGAGAATCGTTTAGATTAAGGGGAATATTTCGTAGTGAGAATCAATGTAAAATTTCATATTATAGGGCAGGTGAAGAGCCAATTCTAGTTTTTTCATGATTTGGAGTTTATGCCTGGAATAATGTTCATTGTTCGGTTGTATTCAGGGAGAAAAATGTTGAAGGTTCAAGTTATGTTGTCCAAGGATGTGAAGCATCGTACTAGCACATTATAGGTCCGTGACTAGGTTTAAGTTGAGGGTTTCCACCTGTTCTTGTCTGACGAAGGCTTTGGGGTTCGAAGCACGACCCGAACACCTGATTTTTATTAAGCAGGTTAGGGTTTCAACTGATGTTGATTTTTGGCTCGGTATTGTGGACAATCGGCAAGACTATAGGCTGGGCCCATGGCTATTATGGAAGTATGTAAAGAATGTGGGTTATTTGTAATATCCACTAGGATGAGTTTGGCCATTACAAGAGAGGGTTTTGAGACTGTGAGGGGATCATAACCTTTGTTCGGGTTGAGTCAAGCCTTTTATTATTATTTTGTGACTCTGTTTTTAGGTAGGAGGATTGTTAGAGTTGTATCGGTGGTTAGACTTGTTTAACTCCTGATTAGGAGTAAGGCCCATTTGTTTATGCTAATTTGGGTGAGACCCATAGGCGAGGCCCATTTGGTTATGGTAGCTTGGGTGAGACCCGGGGGTGAGGCATAATTGGTTATGTTATCTTGGGTGAGCGAACCATTCAAACGCTTGAGGTCAAGCACAGGGCATGTGATTTTGGCTATAAATTCCCAGGATACTGGTTTAGGTAGGGGGCACGTTATATGTGTATCGGTGGTTAGATTTGTATAACTTCTGATTGAGAGCGAGGACCGTTTGGTTATGCTAATTTAGGCGAGACCCATTGGTAAGGCTCGTTTGCTCATGGTAGCTTGGGTGAGATTTGTAGGTGAGGTCTGATTGGTTATGTTATCTTCGGTGAGTGTACCATTCATATAATTGAGGTCATGCTCAGGCATGTGGCTTTTGTTGTAAATTTACATGCCAATAATGGAAGGGTTGCGAGATCACATTGATCTGTAATCTTAACATTCTAGTGGAATAAATGGTGTCACATTGTATTTTGAATTAGTAAGTCTATGACTCATGATGCTGGAACTCGACTGTGTGTGGCATAGGTGGGGTGTGAGAAGAAGTGTGGAGTAGGGATGCTCAACGATCAATAGGTTGGATCTGTATTATAGATAGGCTAGGGTAGCCTTTATCAATTAGACTCTTGCATAGAGTCTCGTTGTGTGACTATGTGTGAGATTCTCAGTCTTGGTGAGCGATTAAGGACTTTCAATCCTAATTTATAAAAAGTCAGCATGGAATCAGGAGGTTTTGGATAGATTGAATATTTAAATTTTTGCTTATCAGGATGTGGGTTATGTATTGGTTTGGCACCAATGGTTGATAATCACGTTGGGAGTCACCTTATGTTCGGATGCAACGTTTTGACAGTGATGAATGGTCAGGGATTCTGTTTTTCCAAGTTATCAGCAAGATAATTCAGGGTCGAAGCTATTCATTATGCTTAGTTTGTGAAGTGGAGTCTATATGGATGTGGTATGGAATAGTTATGTCCGACAGGAAGTTAATCATGGTTTAGGGTTTTCCATTTTTGGGCAGGACAGTTGGGTTTTGCTTTTGATAACTGAGGTCAAAATGTTAAGGTTCGTTCTTCATTAGGGTATGTAATTTCTACTGATATTGGTCTTCGATATCAGTTTTGGTAGGCGGTCATCGGTGTGAGATGACTTCTCAGTCTTAATTGGAATTCAAGAAGTTCTATCTAGTTCGACTGGTGCGGTAGAGGAAGTAGTAAGGAATGATTTCAAGGTTGAAATCTAATTTAAGTGGGGGAGAGTTGTAAAAACCTATTTCAGGATATTCCATCATTCAGGATTGATGGACCATAATTTGATAATGTAAAGGCTTTGAACTTTGAGGAAGAGAAGTTTGGACCTTATTAGAGGTTGATAATATTGGTTATGAGATATAAGCCCTTGGTTTGTGTGATAGAACCGAAGAGTACAATGCGAAAAGTTTTATGTTGGGCTTCTTTCATGGATTATGGTTTTAGTTCGACACGTGTTAATCCAAAAGTAACTAGATATAATTGTGGGGCTCTTCAATACCTTTTTGTGCATTTAAAAAATGTCGAAAACGGAGTTGAAACGAAGAAGTTATGGTTTTTGGAAGTTAAATTGGGAGGTTGGGATTTTGTCCTATGCAGGGCTTAGGAGAGCTCCGCATGGCATAGATGCTGAAATCAGATCATGAATTTAATGATTTATGCATTGCATAGATTTTGGTAAGTAGGGCGTAGTCGCTGCCGATCAAAACACTAACCCTAAGGTTTTGAGCATTATTTAAGGGATCTAACTTCTTCGGAACCTTCCCATAACCAGTCTCCATCACCTCATATCATTCCTTTGAAACCCTAGCCACCAATTGTGAGTTTAGGAAGCACTAGTGTGATTTTTGTGTGCATTCTTGAAGAAGGATTGCATTAGAGAAGAAAGTGTGAGCTCCAAAATTTGTAGATCCAGACTTTGCACTTCATCACCTATGTCCATATGGTATAAAGCTTGCATCTTCTAGTTCCTTTTGTTATATCTACTTAGCACATGGGTTTTTATGCTTTTTATCCCTTAACCTTGGTCTTGGTAAGTATGGGTTACTCCAGACCATTTGAATGCCCGCTTCTGGAAATTTTTTGGTTTTAGATTCATAAAAATGAGAGTTTGAGTATTCTTATCCATCCATGCATGAGTTGTTAAGCAAAAGGAGTCATCTTTGACTTAGAGTTTGGTTGTGTGTTCATCTTGGCCATGCAAAGGGACAAAGTTAGAGACTTTATACATTAAGACATTCATTTAGATCGGATCTAGAAGTTTGAGAGTTTGGCTTGTTGTATTAAGAGCTTATTAGAAGTTTATGGGATTAGGGGCTCTATACAGGGTGAAACCTCTATACTCAGTGTGTAGCTTTATGATAGGCACAGATCAATTATGCATGGCGTAAGTCAAATATGTTGAGTATTGACTTTTTGACCATTTTGACTTTTGGTCAACCTTGTTGGGACTTAATATGGGGAGTGAAAAATGGTCTTTTGCCCAACGTAGGTTTAATTATGATATGGGATGTACGGCTAGAAGACTCAACATTCGTATCCAAAGCATTAAGACTACATAAACAAAAAAGTGAGGTTATTCAACAAAAGTAATGATTTAGTAAGATAAATGTGTTAAATATGGTAAATAACATACTTTGATTTGAACTCCAAAATCTGAGGCATATCATCATTTATATGCAATCTAGACCCAAACAAACAATTACCAACTTGAGGCTGACCTGCAAGAAAAAGTAAAATAATATTGTCAGTAATTACTTTGAAGTTGAAATGATAATTTGCTGTAAAAAACACTTACCACCCCAAATTTTGAGTTTGGCCAAACATAGCAGGATAATAACAGGAGCAGTGTCATTATTATGTTGTGAAATGTAAGTAGTCAGCTTCATTGCAAAACTGCCCCACAAAGCGACTGCAATTCTCGTAGCACTAAATATGCATGGTGGTTATTAATGAAAGATAAATATAAACGGGGGAATGTGTAATAATAATACGAATGTGTACCTTAAATCCTAAGCAACCAGATTCATTAACCTTTTCTCTCTTCCATACTCAACAATGACTCGCATGGGATCAGTTGACACAACTTCACCTAGAAAATCTATGTGAAAAAATTTAATAAATTAGTAATAATAATCCAAATGTGTACTACATTAATAATTGAAGTATAGAAATAAGTTAAACGAACAACATAACATACCAAATGCAACACAAGTGTCAAAGTTCCTGACTAGCAAATCTGGGAAAGAGATAAAATGATAAGGATCTATTGTATCAACAAAATCATTGGATACACGAACTTTTGTGGTTTTGTAGAAATTGATTTTATGTTTATGAGGGACAAGCATGTATTTGCTTTCATTGCTATCCATAGCGAAGTTACTGATCTCCCGGACAGCTCCTTCATCGAATAGGGATTCAAATACAGGAATACGATTTTTTTTATTGTTGCTTGAATTCTACTTCCCTGTAGGTGACAATGAAAGATAAAAAGTGTAAAAAAAATATTAAAAAAAATGAACAATAAGAGATTTCATTACATAGACTAAAGTTTATTTTTAAAAATAATACAGTTGATTATTAAAATTGTATGAATAGAATAATGGGTTTTGAGCATTCTAACACTTCCTAAGTGTACATGCAACCCTAATAACCTTGAATCTATGTTTTCTCTATATACATGCAAATTTCTTTTTCAAGGTTATTTCCTAACTAGCATGGCATGGGGATTACATAAAACATAAAACTAGTAGAAATACATACCTTGTTGTTGCTTGGATTCCTTCAAGACTTTGTGATCCTAACACCCCAAATGTTGTGCCTCAAATGCTTCACACAACACCACAACACTTGGAATAACTTGAGAGAATACTTGTAGCACTCAAAATTGGTTATGCCCTCTCTAGTCACCTCCTTAGGTCCGATTTTACTAGCCAAAGGGTTCCTTTTATAGTGGTGTCACAATTAGGGTTTCATTAAGAAGACCCATAATTATCATGACTCTTCATTTCTCATGACCCATGGGTTTGTAACTCCCATGGACTATCCATGGAGCTCCAAATGGTTACATCCATCACCCATAAACCATGGATCATTAATCCACCATAAAAGAATTGATGATTGTCATAATCAACCCTTAAATATTTAATTAGTCTCACTTTGATCACCAAATTAATACTAGATTAATACTTGATCAAATACTAATTAAATAATACTATTATTAATATATTAGAACTTATAATATATTAATAATCATAAGTGCCTTATTCTCTCATTTAGTCTATCCAAGTATTGCAATGCCATGCAACCCAAATGGACCATGCTGGGTCGGGTCAAGTTCAACAGTCTCCCACTTGGATAAGTCTAATAACTATATTTGCAAATATGACTTCAAAATCCGACCAACAATCGTAGCTCTTTCAAAGTCTCTCGGAACTGAGATGATGATGATACGCCATTTAAGATAAGTGATCATATAATCCTCTTCTCTCATGATATCAGCCGGACAAACACATGGAACATGGTCTTACTTATTGTCCAACATTTGTTTCTCGATCTCCGATTTATTTCGACATAGAACTAAATTGAATACATCAATTAGGTTCTAACCGGGCCTGGTACATGGGTCAAAACCAAATCATCGAGGGGCCTAGATATCGTTTCTATTTCTAGAAGGAACAGATAAACTTCGACTGATATGCTTGTACTAACTACTTGTTGAATTACTCACAAAGGCACGTTTTATAACATCGATTTACCAATGCGTTTTCGTACAATCAATGAATAACCAATTCATAGTCAACAACTCATATCTCTAGGTTTGAAGATCTATATGATATTACCGTTTCACGATCACTCGAGATAAATTCCATGAAGTGATACAAGTGAGCGTGGATTGAATCCAATACTCAGCCCTTATGAGTACTCATGAATGTTGTAGCAACCATTGCATTGTCCAAAGCACTTTAGACAAATCGTACAAGCCAAATTCATGACAGTCTTAAAATCAATACTTACTTCCAAAGTTTGAATGACTGTGGATGGTTTGAATAATATGATATATACCATAACATAATTATTTTGGAAGTAAAAACATGCAAAATTGAAACATAGTAAAAAATCAACATAAGATAGTAACACCTTACTCATAAATAAATAACAACTTTTATTTATCATCAAATGTCAATTACATTTTACAAGTTTCAGGAATCTAATTATTGAAACTAATATCATCCTTCATCCCAATGCGCCTTGCATGTTGTAAATGCTTAACCCTGCTCAGTCCCTTCGTGAGGGGATCCGTCGGGTTCTCATTTGATGATACCCTCTTTGCCATGAGGAGTCCTTCTTCTATTCTATGTCTGAAGAAATGATATTTTCTGTCAATGTGCCTAGATCTCCTGTGATCTCTTGGTTCTTTCGCCAAAGCAACCGCACTTTCACTGTCACAGAAAATTTCCATTGGATCCTTTATAGCTGGTACAACTCCAAGGTCTCCGATGAAGTTCCTTAGCCATATCGCCTCTTTTGCTGCCTCGCTTGTTGCTATGTACTCTGATTCACAAGTCGAATCAGCTACTGTCTCCTGCTTGGAACTTTTCTAAGTAATAGCTCCTCCATTTAGGATAAAGACCCAGCCTGACTGAGAGCGAAAATTATCCCTATCAGTTTGGAAGCTAGCATCACTATATCCTTCCACTCTCAAGTCATCACTGCCTCCGAGGGTAAGGACCCAGTCCTTAGTCCTCCGCAAATACTTGAGAATGTTCTTTACCGCTGTCCAGTGTGCCTTGCCAGGGTTCTCTTGATATCTACTCACCATGCTCAAAGCAAAGGCCACATCAGGGCGAGTACAAGTCATAACATACATGATCGAGCCCATAGCAGAAGCATATGGTATCTGACTCATTTCAGCTATCTCAGCCTCTGTACTCGGACTCTGAGTCTTACTTAGTTTGACATTACTCTGGATTGGTAACTCTCCTTTCTTGGAATCTTGCATACTGAACCTCTTTAGTACCTTATCCACATAAGTACTTTGACTAAGTCCAATTAGTCTCTTACTCCTATCTCTCAATATCCTTATCCCTAGGATATAGGCAGCTTCCCCAAGGTCCTTCATAGCAAAACACTTCCCAAGCCAGGCCTTAACCTCCTGCAAAGTTGGGATGTCGTTTCCTATGAGAAGTATGTCGTCCACATACAACAACAAGAAGCTAACTATGCTCCCACTAGCCCTGACATATACACAAGACTCATCCTCACTCCTAGAAAAGCCAAACTCTTTGACTTTCTCATCAAAGCAAAGATTCCACCTGCGAGATGCTTGTTTCAATCCATAAATGGATTTTTCAAGCTTACACACTCTATTAGGGTACTTTAGATTGACAAAACCCTCTGGCTGATCCATGTAAACATCCTCAGCCAACTTTCCATTAAGGAAAGCGGTTTGGACATCCATTTGCCATATTTCATAGTCATGAAATGCAGCTATAGCTAACAACACTCTAATAGACTTAATCTTGGCCACTGGTAAGAAGGTCTCATCATAGTCAACTCCTGGAGTTTGAGTAAAGCCCTTCGCAACCAGTCGCGCTTTATAAGTGTGTACTTTCCCATCCATCGGTCTTCTTCTTGAAGATCCATTTGCACCCAACTGTCTTACGACCTGGTACATTGTCAACCAAGTTCCAAACTTGATTGTCATACATGGACTGAATCTCGCTGTCCATAGCCTCCTTCCATTTCGCAGACTCAGGGCCTGCCATGGCTTCCTTATAATTATTAGGTTCATCCAAATCTATCAGTGTACTATCAATGATAAATGTATTACCTTTAGTGGTGATGTGATAACCATAATAAAATTCAGGTGTGTTCCTCACCCTAGTGGAACGTCTTGGAGGTACAGACTCGTCTATCGGCTCAACAGAAGTTTCCTTCTCAGGTTGGCTGACAGTATTTGAGGTTCCTTCACCACTTGACTCTTGAAGCTCTTCAAGGTCAATTTGCCTCCCACTGTCCCCTTGGCTTATGAATTCTCTCTCACGAAAGACTCCTCTTCTTGCTACAAAGACCACATTATCACTGGGTCTGTAGAAGAGGTAACCAAAGGATCTCTGTGGGTAGCCGATGAAAATACACCTCTCGCTTCGGGGCTCAAGCTTGTCATGAGCCTCACGCCTCACAAAAGCTTCACAACCCCAAATCTTGATGTGGTTCAAATTGGGCACTTTCCCAGTCCACATCTCGTGAGGTGTTTTGGCAACCTTTTTAGTAGGGACTAGATTAAGGATATGGGCGACAATCTCTAAGGCATACCCCCAGAAAGAGATTGGTAACGAAGCTCGACTCATCATGGAACGAACCATATCTAGCAGGGTTCCATTGCCTCTCAGCCACACCATTCAACTGTGGTGTCCTGGAGGTGTCAATTGTGAGACAATCCCACATTCCTTAAGATAGTCAAGGAACTCAATGCTAAGATACTCTCCTCCCCGATCGGATCGGAGCATCTTGATGTTCCTGCCCAATTGATTCTCAACTTCCTGCTTAAACTCTTTGAACTTTTCAAAGGTTTCTGACTTATGCTTGATTAAGTAAATATATCCATATCTACTGTAATCATCAGTAAAAGTCACATAATAACGATTAGCATCTCTTGTAGCAACTCTGAAGGGCCCACACACATCCATGTGTACAAGGTCCAACAAACCTTCACCCCTATCACATGTACCTATGAAGGGTGACTTTGTCATTTTTCCAAATAAACAAGACTCGCAACTATCATCTGACTTGAGGTCAAACGATTCCAAGACTCCAGCCTTTTGGAGTTGGCCTATGCGCTTCTTGCTAACATGTCCAAGACGACAATGCCACAAAGATGCTTTATCCAAGCTATCAGAAGAATCAATATACAACACATTATTTCCTAGATTGTCTACAACATTCACGGCTTCATATACACCATCACAAGGTATTGCTTTAAAGTAAAATACATCATTGTAATAAACATTAATAGCACCATTTTTATTATCAAATGAAAATGTAAAACCTTGTTTGTACAAGCCATGAAAGGAAATAATATTTCTCGCCATTTCGGGCGAGTAACAACACTTATTCAAATCTAACATTAACCCATTATTAAGCAATAAAGAATAAACTCCTATCTTGGTAACAGGTGATGATTTCCTGTTGCCGATGACTAAGTTTATCTTCCCGTGCTCCACTTGCTCACTTCTTCTTAGTGCCTGCAAATCAGTACAAATGTGAATACCACACCCTGTATCAAGCACCCAAGAATTAGCATTAGATGAGTTGTTAGACAAT